GGCTGTTTTTTGTTTTGGGTGCCAGGGATTGAACTAGGACCTTGTGTTTGCCAGGTAAGCTCTTATTCTACTAAGCTATCGCCCAGCCCAAGTTTACTTCTTTCTGTGGCATTAGGAATGGGCAAACTGAGATGGTCTGAATTCTCATAAAAGTAGTATTATATTATATAACTGTGATTTGTTTATTGAATATGAAATCAATTTTAGGAAATATTGTCAACACTTTTTCACTTTCATCACTACATATTTTAAATATTAGGGGAATCTGAGTTTTTGTTTTTTCAACTTGGGAAAGGTGGCAATTCAATTTTAGAAATAGGACAAGTACTTAGTTTCAGATGAAAATATGAAGCTGTTTTTTTTCTTGGTCAGTATCAAATTCTGCCACTACTGAAATTATTTCCTATTTGCCATTTTGGGCAAAAAGTTCATTTCAAAATAGCAACTGCTTTCACAGGAGGAAAGACAGTGTCTGTTTTCATAGTTAAATACTACCTGTCTGGAATCACAAAATCTTTTCTCACTTATGAGACTGTTAAGGGAGTCTGCCTGTTAGTATGACACACATCCTTATTAATCTTAGGGAGATTATTTAGAACTTTCTCCAATGAATGAATTTTTCTTGGCCAGTGTGATTTATAGATATACATTTTTCATATTTTTGGTACTTCTCTGGTACCTCTGATAAGAGTTCAGGATATTCAAAATAAGTAAAAAATAAAATTAAAAATCATATATTAAAAAATATGAACACATCCCCATCTCGGAATATCTAGAGTGCTTAGCAGGAAAGAAAGAAGAAACTTGTATGATGACAGACTACATTCTAAAAACCTTTTAGACTCATTGATCAGAGTTAGCAGTAAGCAGATAAAAATTCCACCAGGTGCTTTCTCTAGAGTTTCTAATTCAGTAGTAGATGTGGGACAGGCTCTGAGAAGTTGTATTTTCCACAGGTTCCCAGGAGATGGTCTAGGGCCACTCTAGGACTATTCTTTTAGAGTATCACTTACATACTTGCATCGGGATTAAGGTGAGAGGGATACATCAAGAATATCAAGGTATCAGAGGCAGTTTACACTTGCTCTCTGGTTTTTTGATGTAGCAGTTCCTGTATACCCATCCCATTTCAAGATTTTTCCACTGTTTAACCTGAAATGCTCTTAAGACATTAAAAAATTATATTTTAATTCTGAAAACAAAAAGTTTTATATATCTGCATGTGTTGGCTCAGGCATATAGAAATCCAAAAGATTTAGAGCAAGAGTCCCAATTATCAAACATCTCTAGGTGAGAGAAAGGTCAGACAGGAAGTGGTATAAGCTGCCAAGTAACGTGGAGGACTGGAGATGCCATGCCAAAGAGGACAGAAGGGGCTCAGCAGCAGATAACCATCATTCAATAGGGTAGGTCTATCATAGCCAGATCACCCATGTTTTCAAGATAAACAGGAGATCCAACATTCCATGTAAAATCTCTCAAGTTTTAAACACTGGCAACTAATTTAAAAATCTGAACAATGTGTACAACACACAGAAAAGTCTGTGGGCTGGAGAATGCCAGTTTATGGCCTCTAGGTTAGAAGACAGTCTCAAGAGAAATACGAGGTAGGCAATGTCCCATTCACTCTGCTTATGGTCTACTTTCTCTAGCAATCACCTACTTCCAAAATTAAAAGCCCTTTCTAAAGATCTAAGGAAGCCCCCTTTATAAGCAGTTTTTCCATCAAAACAAGTTCTGTGAAAAGTCTTAGTATGGGAAAACTGGGAAAGAGAAATGAATTCTTCATAACCTGCAACTCCTGATCTACGAACAATGACCAACACTAATGTGACTAGCATTTCAGGATCACTAACTCGCATAACACTTTTAAAAAAAGAAAGAAGAAAAGAAAGCTGGACCTAGGAGTACAGACTGGAGGATTCTGAAGCATTCTATCAAACCTGATGATGTGATTTGTGAGTGTAAATCATTTAAACATCTTTGCGTAAAAATTCATTAAACTGGGGCTGGCCAGACAGCTCAGCACACAGAGACGGTGACTGAGACTGGGAGTGGTGGTGCATGCCTATAATCCCAGCACTTGGGAGGCTGAAAACAGGAGAATTACTACTAGCCTAATCTGTGTAGTAAGATACTCTAGACCCTGTATTGAATACATTAAGAAAACAAAATTCACTAAACTGAGAAAACTGCATTTTTTTTTTTATGAGCAGAATATATTTATTGAGAGAAAGAAAGCTCCTGTCCAAGAGAGGGACAGGAGGGGGGCCTGAGCAGGTAGTTCCCCCAAAAATTGCATTTTACAACACACAGGCAACAAAAAATAGCAAGCACAATAATTCACATCTCATACATCTACTCTGATTAACAATAGCAGCCTAGGGAACCATGTGAAGGACCTTTAGCCTGGCATGGTGGCATATCACCTATAATCTAAGCTACTCAAGAGGCTGAGATAGGATTATAAATTTAAGACTAGCCTGGGCAAAGTATCTAGGTCCTGTCTGATAAAATAAATAAATGCATGCAGACACTGTAGCTCAGTGGTACACGTGTGTAGTATGCATGCAACTCAATCCCCAATGCCACACCCACACCCACACAACTTCCAAAGTCAGATCCTGACTTAGTGCAAGAGATGCATGCCAAAAACCTGCAAGAGGAATGACAATGGATATGCGCCTTATTTGGCCTCTTTATATAGTAGATTAAAAACACAGAACTGGTTTTAGGAAAATTTATAGTCCACATGCATTAACACAGTGACTAGAGAAATACTTTACGATATGAATAAGATTAAGTGACCGCATGCCAATGGTTTTCCACTCCACTCAGAGTAAAAGCCAGACATATTACTACACAAGAAGCTCTGTGCTGTCTGGCTTCCCATTACGTGCTGATCTCATTTCCTGCTGCACTGTCCCGATGCCATTCCAGACACAACAAGCCCTGAGGTGCCTGCATCTGTTATTCTCACTGCCTAGAAAGCTCTTCTTCTGGATGTGCACACAGTTTACAACTCTATCCTCTTACCAGTGAGGACTTCCTTGACTACTATTATTTAAAAAAAAAAACAAAAAAAAACACTCCCTTAGTCTCCATTTGCTCTATTTATTTACTTATTGCGTGTGTGGGTGTGTGTGGCCAGCTCAGCCCACCAGGGGGACAGGGCCGGCTGGCATGTGGTGCTGGGGATTGAACCGCGGTTCCTGTGTTTTTGCTTAGCTTAGCTTGTATTAAGTAGGTGCTTTAGACCACTGAGCCATCTCACCAGCCCCTCCATTTGCTCTAATGTATAGCATTTTCTACAATACTTAAGACCATCCAATCAACATTTTGGGGACGGGTACCAGGGATCAAACTCTGGGCCTTGCACTTGCCAAGCAGGCGCTTTTAACACCATCTGAGACACTAAATATTTTGCTTATTTTTCTTCTAGGATGAAATCTTCACAGGGTGTAGGTTTTTAATCATTCAGCTTACTTTTTTAAAACAGTAATTAAGGAGATGTAGGTACAAAGAAATGATAACAAGATGAACCTGGGTTCTAACACTGGCCTGGCCTGCCATGCCGGACCCGCCCCCAGAACACACTGAGATGGCAACTGAGACTGGGCGTGGAGGTGCGTGCCTGTAATCCCAGCTCTTGGGAGGCTGTAAACAGGAAAATCACTACAAATCCAATCTAGTAGTGAGATCCTGAACACTCTGTAGACCTTTCCCTAAATACACAAAACAAACGAACAAAAAACTAAAGGTACAAATTAAGCCATAGAAGAGTGACATCACTTCCTAAGGCCAGACAGGAGGATAGTGGAAAGCCAGGTTAAAAAGGTCTCCCATGTTCCAATCCAATGCCCAAACTAAGTCCTAAATATTTATTTATTTATTTTTTCCCTAAGCCCTTTTAGAAACAATAACAGAGTCATGACAGCTGAAAACCAAACTTCAGAATTTAAGAAAGCAAAAATAAAAATTTCTGGGGAAAAAATCTTTTCTAGAAATATCTGCAAAAGAATATGAACTCCTTAGCTTACTTTAATAAAAAAATTTACTGCCTTTACTCATAAAATCCCTATGAATACTACTAAGTATCTGAGGCTGAAGGAGAATGTTTCATGACACAGAAAGGAATAGCATACCCAGTTTTTCATAATTTAATATTCATCTTCTAAAAAGATTTCAAGGGGGCAGGGAGATGGCTCAGTAGAGTAAGTGCTTGCCTAGCAAGCACAGGGCCTGAGTTCAATCCCTGGTTCCACCAAAAATAAATAAATAAATAAATAAATTTCAAATAATCCTCAGTCTAAAATTAAAAGATTGTTTAACAAAAGAACAAAGACACAAGGTTCAAATCCCCTTCAAATGCTCAAGTATAGAATCATGATCCCTTGAAGGGCTGGCCGGATAGCTCATTGGGCTAAAGCACCCGCTTAGGCAGAGCACAGAGGCCAGGTTTGATCCCAGGCGTGCCTTGCTGGTCTGGCTCCAGGGCACACTGAGACTGATTGAGACTGGGAGCGGGGCATGCCTGTAATCCCAGCACATGGGAGGCTGAAAACAGGAGAATCATTATGAGTCCAATCTACATAGTGAGACCCTGTAGACCCTGTACTAAAATACATTAAAAAAAACATGACCTCAAATAAACTATTAAAGACAAATGCATCTTCACTTGATAACTATTTCTTCAACTGCTATCAATTTTAAAGCTAGACAAATAGAAAAGTGGCAAATAAATAAAGAATTTATAAAGCAAAATTATGTCATTAATCAGGGAACTCAGAACTGCTCAAGCGTCAGTAAAAAATTGTCTGACACCCATGAGGCCTTTGGCCCAGAGCTGTTGTAGGGGCAATTAACAGGAGACTCAAACTATGCAAGAAAATGCTTAAATGCTCAGGTACTTTCAGCAAGATGACAGAACTGGATGTGCCATAGACATGTCAAATAACATCCCCCTACAGACATAACCATTTAATTTCAACATTACTCACAAACTCATAGTCTCCATCCTGTGGTACTTTCCAGTCTGAAGAATTCTTCAGTGGGCCAGATACACTCTTGCCAAAGCTGTTGATCTGATTTTCCTTTTCTTTTTGTTCAAAGTATTCAAGGAAAGATGGTTTTGCAGGCTGCATGGTCTCATCCCTTCCTAAAATATAAGAAAACTAAAAGGTAAAAAGGGCTATCTGGAAGAAAAAGAAGAACAAACATTTTCCTGTATTTCAGATAAAGCTAGTGAATAGATCTTCAAATAAGCCATGGTCTTTGGATCAATACAATGTCTTTTGGTTAATGACTCTTTCAAGTCCTTAAAGAAAGTACAGAAAAATATACATATTCCCCCTAAAATATTTCCCATAGAATTCAAAATCTCCTTACAATATAAATATACACATATACAAAGATGCTCCCAGGGTTTCTTTTTCTAGATAGAGATTTGAGCCCTGTAGTAACTCTGGATAAGCTGCAAATAATACATTTTGGAAGCCCCTCAGCAAATATTCCTATAACTTCCACAGGGAAAACACTTGAGAGGTGAGCAAAATGTACAATCCATCTAACTCTGGTTTACAATAGTTAAGAAAACAGGATACAATTATATATATGTATATGTATATTATATATATGTTATATATAATATACATACATATACACATACATACTATGTTCTCAATGTTATAAGGAAGGAAAAAACTGGAAAGGAAACACCAAATGTTAACAGTTTGTCTCTGGTTACAGGACCACAGGTGATTTTATTTACTTATGTGAACATATTTTTAAAGAAGACACTGCTGGATATAATTAATAATTTGGTCTTACCTAGGCTCATATCTTGGAGGGAGGTGGTTAAGAAAGACCTGGAGGGGAGGGCTTAGGTGCTGTCTCAAAGCACCACAGAAAATAAAATCAGCAGTTATGCAACAGCAATTACTAGATGACAGCACAACATATCAGCTGCTAATTACAATGGCAAAAAAGAATGATTGGCCTGGCATGATCTCAACTCCAGCTGAATGCACCTCTTCCAGAATTTGTGCTATGGTTGGTAATCTAATATGGAGAAATACAGGAAGTGTTCCATGCTTTCTGTGAACATGGTGGCTCTACATAGCCATTTCCCACAATAATCAGGAAAAAGAACCAGAAGGCTGGGACCCTTGGATTCCAGTGAGGGTGGGAGGATCTGGAAGATAAAGAACAACAAACATTTTCCCCAGCACCTTTGTCCCACACGATCTTATCATGTGGCCCCTGCCTAATCTAGTTCCAAGCCAGCATCTTGACTGTCTCTCAGACTTTTGCCATCTTTCTTACTATCACCAGTGCCAAGTCTGACAGCACCCACTTCCGGATTTGCCATTTCCAGATGCTGTCAAGAGTTTATTACACTACTGCCTCTTCATTTATGAGGGATTAAATACCATATTTTCTCAGGTCAGCCAGTGAGTGTATGGTATTTTGTTTTGTAGATGCCTTATGGTTCTCTTTTTCTCTGTCTCCCCCTGTCCTCAGGTCTCACTACATTGTCCAGGTCGCCCTGAACTCATGATCCTCCTCCCTTACAATCCCCCCAGTTTCACACTGCTGGGATTACAGGTGTATGTTACATGCCCAGTTTATTTAAAGTTAAATTTCAGGTATCATTTCATACCACAGTTCTCCAGAACTAAAACAAAATGAAACTTGTAAAACAAAAATCATGGTGCTTTAGAGTAGCTGAGCAGTCAGAAGCTCTAAACTTTGCTCAGTTCCTTCTGAGACTACCAGAGGAAAAGTGATTATTGGCTCTGAGACAAGTCTGCAGCAAACCCTGTGCATATAGCCCTACATGTTAAAAAAAAAAAAAAAAAAAAAGTGTTAGGGCTGGGTGTGGCAATGCTAACCTCTTGTGTGCAGTCCTGGGTGTGATCCCCACCAGTGGGGAAAAATGTTCAAAGAACATTCTTGGGCCACACAACCTTAATGATCACTGACATTTTCAAAACATAGTATCTTTTCATACAAAATGTCCTAACTAGATGTGTCAACCAAGTGAACTGAGTAGAAGACTTAAAAACGAAACAGACCCAACAGCTATCCGAACAACTGGACTGTTTATTTTCTTTTGTATTTTAGTAAGGGTCTACAGGGTCTCACTACGTAGATCGGACTTGTAGTGATTCTCCTGTGTTCAGCCTCCCAAAGAGCTAGGATTACTACAGGTGGGCGCCACCACACCCAGTCTCCATCACTGTCTCAGGGCACCCCAAGGGGGCGGGGCCAGCACAGCACCCCGGGGATCAAACCCACGCCGCTGAACCACTGAGCTATTTTGCTGGCCCTTGCACTGTTTCTTATGTAAAGATTATATTGGATCTCATACTTTAAACCAACAAAATGCCAAATGGTTAAAAGGTTCAATTTTTACAACTGAACCAAAAATACTTAAAAAAATGTGAATGCATTTAAAATCTATGTGTGGAATATGCTTTCTGTGACAAAAATCCAGATATAATGCAAAAAAAGGATTATAAATAGAACACCTGTATATCAAGAAAACACAATTTTTAAAAAAATTAATAATCACATAGATACTATAAGCCAAATGAGCCAATTAATAGAGACAAAGAAAATATTTAGAACAAATATCTTCAAAATTTCAAGAATTCTTTATGTATTAGGGAGAAGCTACCAGCACGTTAAGAGGGGGGCAGTGAGACAGGGTCATGTTATAAAACTCAGGCTCACTTAGAACTCATGATCCTACTGTCTCGATCTCTTGCTGAGATACAAACCTGAGTAATTCATCATATCTAGTTAGAATTTTTCAATCAAGGAAAAGGAGATAAAAAATGGTAGAAAAATGGAATAAAGATTTGAAAAAAGAATACACATATAGTTGTCCAACTGCCCTTACGTATGAAAATAAATGTTTAGACTCACTCATAGTATGTGAAACTACTTAGAAATACTGGATCTTACACTTCAGACTGGCAAAGATTCAAATGCAGGATCGCACACTCTGTGTTGGTGATCCAGTCATACAGGACTGAGCTGGAACACACAACTGAAATCCTCAAGAAGGGGAGCTGGCACTAAGTATCAAAACATGAAAATGGGGAAGGTACAGAAGACCCTGTGGTGTATTTGAACTGGAGGGCTTGATATAAACCTTTTAAAAAAGAAAAAAGCATTTCAAGATTTTTTTATTAAAAGGCCCTGAAGCAAAGACACCTCAGCACTGATGAACACAGCCACCACTCAGATCTGGATCTCCAAATAGCATCCTCTGCTAAAAGGAACAAGGGCCTCTTTAGATAAATAGTTGATTTCAGGTCTACAGAAAGAAAACTGCGAAGTGGTCCTAGAGAATCTTTTCATGACAAAAAGGCAAGAAAACAAGCACTCAAAAAATGATGGGGAATAAAAAGATGTGAGAGGAACCTGAAGTGACCCCTACTAGTCCATTTTGGAATACTTTAAACATTAACAGAACACAGTAAGAATTATTTTCTTTAGAAAGATCACCATTTGATAAGTATATCATGGTAGTAAATATACACACACATACTTTTTCCTACAAGATATACACCAAACAATATCTCCTTCTTTGGAAATACAAAGTTTGAGAGTAATTTGCATATATCATCATTTTGTACCAATTTTTCCATCCATCTATCCATCTATCTTGTATACACACAAAGAAATGGGGAATGACTTTTTAAAAAGTCAATAAAAAGCAATTCTAGATACCACGGGTTATTTAATTTAAGGTAATTTAAGGTTTTGCCTCCCATGGAATTAGTATTATATCCAATAATGAAACAATACATTTCTGTGGCACTTCATTAACTCCTTTCAGTTGCAATACAAGTCAATTTTAGAAGTTAAATCTTTAAACAAATGATAAAGCACTAAAAATAACATTTCTGTCATGTAATTCTAAACCAAGCCATAAAAATCAAAGAAACATCAGCTCAGCTAGCCCACAATCATGTGTCTAGATAAAAAATTAGAACATTTACTTTTTTCACATTTAAATTTTTTAAATTTATGACAGACTTTCTAATGTAAAGATTTCTAATAATGTTGGAGGTAAAATACCAGTTCTTCTTTTTCTTTTTTAACCTATTTTATTTTATTTTTTTAAATTTGTGTGTGTGTGTGTGTGTGTGTGTGTGTGTGTGTGTATGTGTGGCCAGCTCAGCCCACCAGGGGGCGGGGCTGGCAGGCATGTGGTGCTGGGGATTGAACCCTGTGCTTTGCTAAACTTGTTCTAAGTAGGTGCTTTAGACCACTCAGCCATCTCACCAGCCCTCTTCTTTTTCTTTTATCTTTTTTTCTCACTATACAGCTTAGGCTGGCCTTAAACTACATAGCCCAGGCTGGCTTCAAACTCACAACAGTCCTCCGGCCTCAGCTGCTTGAGTGCTGGGATTACAGGCATGTGCCACCTCACTGGGCACTATTCTCATCTCAGTCACTTGTAGTCATAAACAAAAAAAACCTTTATCTAAATGTCTTTTATCTTCATCTTTTGGTGTTAATGCCAGGGATCTAATTATATCTGACATTTATTAGAATTCAATGTTTCGGAACTAGAATAAACCTTGTAATTAGAGAAGTTTTTTAATTTAATCACATATTCAGACAAACTGGAAAAGTGAAATTCAATTCACCATTTCTTAGAAATTTAATTGTAACAAAATGATTAATTAGAAGACTACATATATCAGATTACTAAAAAGCTAAAGTTGATTTTGGAAACAGCATAATAGAAGAGTTCCTATCCTGGGATTTTATACTACATATGTTTTACTATAATTTTTTTTTTAATGGAAAAAAATATTCCAGGGGCCGGGGAGATGGCTCAATAGGATAAGCGCTTGACTGGCAAATGCAAGTTCAATCCCTGATTCCACCAAAAAAAAAAAAAAAATTCCTGTCCTGAGGTTCTGAGATTTAGATTCTGGTCCTGACTATATGTTCTTGGGAAACTCACTGTTTCCCAATCTGTAACAAAGTATATACTGGCCCATATTATTTTTACTATCTTTTGTAGCTTTGAAAATGACATGATTCTAACTAGTAATCAAAGCCCCAGTAGCCTAATGGATAAGACACTGGCCTCCTAACTGGCAATCACATCTGAAAGCACATTTGTACTCC